GCAGTGGCAGTGGCTGTGGCGGGCAAAATGTCGGGGAATGGAGGGGAGGGAATGTGTCACTGAGCACAGAGGGGAAGGGAGGAGAAAAGATTCTTACCTGATTGAGGGACTTAAAAATGTATGTTCCCTGCTACTGCTCCTGCTGCAAGGTAATGCCTGTCCAGCGAATGGGGGGTAAGGTGGGAGGAGAGGGTGCCACCACCCAATGCTGTGCCAGTAGCAACTTCCACACCCCTCTTTTACAAAATCCTGGATCTGCCCATGTTTTATATCACTGCTGAGTTTAAGACAGGATCCTTCATGACAGTTGGACTTGAATACTGCAAGTTACTCTGAGCAGTGTTGTTCAGTGTACAAATGATATTGGGAATGGTTTCTTCTCCAAAAGACTATGTATCACAGAGAACATTTTACTACAGCATAAAAGCCAGGGTAAATTATTTTGTAGTAATTGCATCACATGTTTACACTGCTAATCTCACATACCTAATTCCAGGCTGCGTATAGGGACCTAACTCCCAGATAAATGCATTATTTCAAATATACACTTCTCTTCAGTGTTCTTCTACTGGCTGGGTTTAGGCATTTCACAGCTGATTGTGCTAGTTTTTGCTATTCATAGGTACTTATATCCCCACTTATTGTTATGGAACTTAGGCACCTAACTTGGGTGCGTAAATTTTATTTTCAGAGGTAGCCATCTATGCACATTATGGTACTATAAGCCCCGATTACTGTCACTTCAATTATTATGGGGAGGGGAATGCACTGTAGGTAACTGAACAAGCAAGTTTAGAAAGTGAGATAAAAAATTTTAAAGGATTTAAAATTTAAAACTCAGAGTTTCTCAGTGAGCATTTAAATATTTTTAGCTTTTATATTAACCAAAAACATGACTTTGTAATACATGTATCAGGCCATTTAAGATGAGTGACAACAAATGTACAAAATGGAGGGGGAGGTCTGTAACTGGTTTTATCTTGTACCCTAGTTATGTAGTAAGATATTTGAAAATCAGCTACTACTTATGTTGGGAGTAATAGGTTTAATTTTTCTGAGGGCTGTCCTAGATCTAATTCTGACCCAGTTAATATAATGAGATATTTCACTGGTGACAGGCTGTCAAATATCTTCCATAAAATCAATGAAAGGTGTTACCTTTTTTCCATTAAAGAAAAAAAAATAGTTCTATTGATTCTTTGGAGATTGATTTTATAAGCTTTAGTCATAAATGCCAGCACTGATATTAGTTTTTTCTATGTAGTGCTTAAGCAACAGCATTGCTGTTTGCACTTTTGCTGAACTTGCCATTAACTTTGTAGATATGTGATGTATACCTCATCCTTACAATAAAATCATTGTATAGTTGCTATAGAAAATTGGAAAAGTAATTTTTGGGGCACATATAAAACTTAAGGAAAATGTCTCTTTCCAGGAACAGCAGGAGGAGAAAACCTTTCCAACAGAAATGCTTGTGTTAGTTGTATATATCAGCTTTGTTAAATGAAATGCTATAAAGGAAATGAGCCTTATCAATGAAAAATAAAATCAGTATTTTTCCTGTTCTGAAACAAACTTGATTCAGCATCATTTTTTTCTTAAACGGTTATGTAAAGGAAATGGTATCTTTACTAGCAGCTTAATGGTGAAACTAAAGCTGAGAATGAAAACTAAATAGGCAATATTGTACAATGCAGAAGACATTCAAAGGAAAGGACAGTTCAGGTGAATATGCATCCTTGTAAAAAAGGATTAGAGAGAGGTAGTTAGCTGTGCTAGTCTGAAGTTAGGCAGAAGGCAGGGCAGACCACCTGTCCCTGCCTTCTGCTTTTAAAAATGAGTTTTTGAATACGGGATAGGTGTAGGGGTTGGAGTCTGGCTTTACTTCTGACCCAATACAACACTACTATTTTAAGTTATATAGGTACTTGGTTCCTCTACAGAAGTGGTTGACCAATTCAGTCATTAATGGAGTTCATCTTCACAAAACCCCAGTAAGGCAGAAAGGCAGTGTTTTACAGGTAGAGAAATTTAATTGGTTTGTCTAAGATCACACAAGAAAATATGGAGCAGAATTGAGCATTGAAACAAGGCCTCTTAATTCCCAGTTTTAGTCTCCCATTGCTGTTTTCCTGTGCATCGAGTCTGTAGGGTCTTTTCCAGTTTCACTGTTGCTTAGGGAAGAAACAGGCTTGTTAATGGACTGGACCTTGGTCAGTTTCCCAGGGGGTCTTTGCTGGAAATTATTTTAATTGGGAGGAAGATGGTTTATCCCGCCCCTCCTGGTGCCTTCCTTCAGTCATTCCGATTGTCCTTCCTGCTTGGGGCTCTGCCTCCCCTACACCCTGCTTAACGCCAACCAAAGATGTCATTTCCTGGACCACTAGAGTTGGTGTCACATGTACTTCGGTGTTTTGGCTCTCCAAACTTATGATGGTGGGATCAGGACATTGTTTTGCCTGAGTGTTCCCTACCGCACTTTGCTTTGTTTATGCATCTTCCAGGTCCCGGGCTGTCTTGTCCCCCGGTGTCCCGCTCCCTCTTCCAGTCTTATACTTGCTCTGGGTCAGTTGTACATTGGTCCTCTCCCTATCTGATCCTGCTGGGATCTAGTCTATGTTGTAGATGTCTGACATCCACGGTGTCTATTCAGGTAAGTTGTTGAGCCTTGTCTGGCTCTGGTCATTTGAGAAAACCCCTTACTGGGGCAGCTACCACATCCCTGCAGTGAGACTCTGCTCTGAATCTGGCCCATCCAGGCCGGTTGGGAACCTCACTTCTGGTTCCCCCTGCTGTTCTCCCACCAGGCTTTTTATCCCAGCCTCAGTGGGCTGGCCAGCACACTGTTAAAAAGCATGCTTACGCTGACATGGGAGCCAGACCTGGCTCCTCCCGACTCTGCTGGGTTTTTTTTCTCTTTTCCTTTTACTGTGGCGTCCCCATCCACTGTGGTTTCACTATCACTGCATTCCCGTTCCGGTGTGGCATCCTGCCAGCTTTGCTCCTCGCTCAGCTGAGGTAAGTCTTTTTTTTCACACCAGTCTACTGTCATACCCTACCCATAAGGCCATCTTTTGCCCCTTTTAGTAGTGGACTTTTCTTTCAGTAGTGAACACCAGTTGGTTTAGAGAAGCATAAGCTTTCATAGGTGACAGCCTATTTCATTAGATGCTAGCATGGACAGATCCCACCTGCCCATGGTTCAGCCAGGGACAATGGAGACAGTGGCAAAAGAGGGTAGGAAGAGGGTAAAGTGGAAGAGGAGAGGATGTGCCACTGAACATGGAGGGGAAAGAGGTGGGGTGGGGATTTCTTACCTGTTTTAGGGACTTGTAGTCTCTGGTTTCTGCGCCTGCAGCCTTGTCTGAAAGTGAGGAGTGTGACTGCACCACTGCACCTCCTCTGGATTTGCCTCCAGATGCTAGCACCTGACAAAGTAGGCTATTGTCTATGAAAGCTTATGCACATCTGAACCAGATAGTCGCTAAGGTGCTCTGCCTTCTGCCTGACTTCTGACTAACATAGTTAAATCCCTCTCTCTGACATTATCTTGGGAATGGAAGCTGCGTAGAGAATATACTGAATGTGGAAGCAGCCATCTTCATTTACCTGTGACCTGATGCCATGTCATGGCTTCCAGAACTGGGGGAGCAGTTTGCCATATCCCTAGGAAACAAATCTGTTCTGGACCCTTTTTGTTTGTGCCACCACTGCCTACCTAAGGTCCATGCAATCACACAAATCTCAACCCAGTTCAGTATGAAAACAGTTTGGATATGAAGGATGTTATTACAAGAAAAGGACTAATCTATTTCTCATAAGGAAATAGAGGATATTGCAAAAATGCCTTGCCACAAAATGAGAGGCATTTTTTTTTCTTTTGGTGGTATTTTTTAATGGAGGATCTGTAGCATAGTTTTCCTGGACCATCACTGCTACAACAATATTCCAACCCTACTACATGCTACACAACAGTTTGTTAGATGAAAGGATAACTAGAGCAATGCTCACTAGTTTGTAGAAACAATTATTGGAGCTTGCACCTTCCAATAGTGAGTAAAAGTGCAGTCTAAATATTACTGTTTGCATGGCAGTGCTCCTCACACAGCTCTTTATAAAGTGACTCTGCCACCATGGACAGTGTAGTGAATGGCTGA